GCTGGTGTACCAACAGTGCTACTTTGGACTTAATTACATAAAACTGCCTCTGAGAAAGGGAAGATGAGAAGCAGAGAGAGAAAGAGAAGGAAGTGAGTAGACGAGGGGTGGAGAAAATACGCAAAGAGTGACAAGGACAAGTAGGGGGAGAGACTGATGGAGAAGGTGGTGTRAAATGGGTGATAGCAAGGTCAGTGACTGGGAGAGTAATAGAGCAGCGGAGGTTTCGGGGGAGGGACAGATGGTGACACACAGAAGAAGAGTTTGTGGAAACAAGACTGAGGGAAAGAGAAACCTGATTTCACGCTCCACCTGTCTGACTGAGAGGCTAGAAAACACATATATACATCACACAGTGTATGATCATAGCATGTGGGTGACTTTGAACACGTATGAAACGCACACACACTAAATGTAAAACTTCACAGGATTGCAGTGTTTCATTTGGTGCCTTTTTTCTTTTCCTTCTGCTGTGCTCATCCTTTAGATTTGTGCTGCCTGGGGGGTGCTGGCCAAGCGTATCAAAGGCATTTGACCACGGTGGCAGCATGAAAGCCTTGCCCCGGACCATAACGCCACCGATAATCCAAGCTGTGGCACAGAACTAGATCAGGATGAAACAGACTGCTGTCTACTCCCCACACCACTCACTTTCCTCTTTACTTTCAGTAACTGCAGAGCTACTTTACCTGGTGCTCTAAGTCTCTCTGATTGCAGGTTTTCTCAATGCCTTTTTTTGTCATCGCTGCCTTTCTGACTCAGCTCAGCTCAGCTCATGAAGTCATTAGAGCTTGACCGCAACTGAAAATCAGAAGCCATAAAGCTCACACTCTAGGACACTGGTTCCCAACCTTTTTAGACGTGTGTACCCCCTGAGCCATTTTGTCATACCACTAGTACCCCTCTCTTTCAAATGTAGTGATAATCCTCCAAAACTATAATGTACAACAACTGATTATTAAATGAAAATTATTTATCTAACTCCCTAGAATGTTTAATTCTCAGGCATTTTATTGTTTTCAGTTCAAATTAAACACAAAATAAATATGTTGCCTTGAAAGGAACTAAGTAATTAATTAAATAAACCAGGTAGTGGCAGGTGCAGGAAGCAGCAGCGTCCAAAATACATCAAATACCCCAAATGAGCAAATTCCGTCAGATTCCATGTTTTATGCAGGATTCCATTTTGTGTCAATTTCTTGACTCCATTTGTATTTTCCACATTGCCAAAACAACAGGATCCTGCATATCTCAGTCCTATTTTTAGTTTTATTTTTTACACACCTGTGAAATTTTTCCACAAACCCCCTGTAATATGCTCGCGTACTCCAAGGGGTACACGTACCCCTGGTTGGGAATCACTGCTTTACCAGTCCAGGCTCAATTTTCCAGTAAGCTCACGTCCAGATCAAACATCTGTATGGCTTATCAACACATGCTTTGAAACCAACTTCTCCTAAAAGAGAAAGTTTGGACTTTTTTTGAATTAATGTTCTGTGAAGCTGTTATCTGTAAGCAGAATCTCACCTGGTGTAGAAATCACCTGGAGCAAAATGAGTTTGGGAGATCAGGCAGAAGTTCTGTCAGGGAGCTAAGCTAGCAGCWAGTCTGTTTGAGCAGAGCCATTTCCAATGCAGACTGCTGCTGTCTTAAAACAACCCCAAGCACAAAACATTGTTTATACTGTAAGTTCTGGCAGGACGCATTATTATGGAGTTTTAAACCCCTTACTTTTCCTTCACGTTTTCTCAGCCACATCATGCTTAATATTCCTTTTAACAACTTAGGTTTCACACAAATCATTACTTGTACTAAACTATGGCTCAGTTTTCAATGTATATACTGTGTTTATTTGTGTATAATGTGAAAAATTTAACCCCAAAAACCATCTATAAAGTTGAGGGATCATATTATACGCAGGATTMAATTTTGACCTATTTGTTTCTAATGCACTACCACAATAAGTTTGAACATTTTCTCAAATATAACGGAAATATTGCATCACTTTTTTCCTCCCTTCTGCTGTACGTCACACATAGCAATGCATATAAGCAACTGTAGTTGTTTCAGTGTTAGAGAAATTTTTTTTCTTGTTAATCACAAAAAAGACATGAACATTAGTTGCACGTTTGAAGGCTCACAAGTCCATCTTGCAAATTTAAGAGCTGATCTTCTGCTCTGGGAATGGATCATTTTCGGCAAGATGTGGAGCTAAATGCTCGTGCTGCTCCACCTCTGCAGGTTTTGCCAAACATGCCCACATGTGTGTGTCCCCAAATAATGCGTTCCCACCAGAGAGAGTACTCAAGGCTGAAACATCCTGCAGTATGTATGAAATTAGGGGTAGCATTCTACAAGAGGATTACATTTTTTATGCTTTTTAAGCTAAAAAAATGGGGTCACATTATTCTTAAAGTGCATGTTACATGGAAAAACTAGAAGCACTCGGAGAGCGCAAACCTCYGCCAAGACTGTATGTTTGCGTGTGAGTGTGTGTGYTTGTTTTGTGTGTGATTTATTACATTTTTAGTCATATGTTTGTTTGTGTACAAGTGCTTTCCAATGACTAAACACGTAATAAATTACAGCTAGCTAGCTTACCTTTCCGATACAGGTGGGGGGGAAAACTCCAAAAACGTAAACACAAAATACAAAATTGTTAGGACGCGCAGGCCAATGTATTTTGAAAATGATCTGTTGTTACATTAAAGTAACTTCAAACAGTAAGTTTTCTTATTTAAAAACAATTCGGTCTAAAGTTATATTTCAATGCTCCTTTGTGATTGGACTTCTACACCGCTTCAGGCAATCCCATTGGATGTCTACAGTTGGGGGTTGACCCGTCTACGATGATCCGATGTGATYGGACGTCTACGGTCAGCTTCCTTGAAACTGACTGGCTGTTCCTGGGTCCAGACCGTGATCCGGATCATCACCAAAATATAATGGTGTGTTCCTTTGGCCAATACCCACTTGTGGTAAAAATTTCATGAAAATCTGTCCAAAAGTTTTTGAGTAATTTTTCCACAGACAGACAGACAGACAGACAGACAGACAGACAGACGTGACCGAAAACATTACCTCCTCTCTTGGCGGAGGTAACTTTGGTAATCATAAACCTCAATGTGAATAATTTTCTATTGAAAAATCCGTATAGTTGGGACATCCCAGCTGTATTTTTGTATGCCTCTWTTTTTCACTTTCACCTCTATTTGTTACTGATAGCTGTGTTTTCTMTCTATTCAGACCCCACCCCTTTCTCCATGTCTGTACACTGACTGTTGCCTTGTCGTGATGAGAAAGAGGATAGTTAAACGCCTTGGGAAGTTAAGGACCCACCGGGGAACCTTCCAATAGCAACCCAAATAATGAAAATGTAATTCTACAGGCATAATTAGGTTAGAGATAGGGTGATTACTGAGTGATCCATTAAAAGTGATGGCAAAAGTAATTACTTATTCAATCAGCAAGGTTTTATGAGAAAATAAGATGGCACCATGTTGTGTTCCCTCTATAGCAGTCATTACATTTACAAGAGTACAATACTTTACGTTGTTATTGGTCCTCGTGACAGCTTGTTCAATCATGAGGTAAAGCCATAGAGGAATAAAAGTCAATACAGTCAAAGAAATAAGTTTTCTCTATGCATATGTCCTTCACATATCCATCCAAGGCGGTATGGTTTGTATAATTCCTTTTTGCATGGTAAATATAAAACCTGATTATCCCTGTTTTCAACCAGCCTCTTTTTGTCTGCTTATTTTCTGTGGAAATCTTCCGTCTACTCTGAGGTTAGAAAGTGCAGAAGAAAGCACGGAGGAAAACACGCACTTGGAAGCAATTCAGAATGTTGTACATCTGACATCTCCCTCGCCAACATATGGGAAGTTATGTCTGCCCACATGGATAATTCTCAAGAGACTGTCAGTCATGAGAAGTGTGCTCATATCAATGTGTGAGAAACACATTACTACAGTCAAACAGGTTTTAACTGCAACCGTGTTGCATTTGTAATATAGCTTTGTATCATATTTGCAATGTCTTTTCCACAACAAAAGATGTCCTTGAGATTTTGAAGACTTGAAATTCTTGCCTGTGGGACTACTGTAAACACACTTATAAAGGCCTGCTTCAAACTGGATGGCTATCACAATGTAAAAACTAAATAAAACAGCTAGAACTGGAATYGTTGCAGTCTTGGTGAGGGTCTTCAGATGTATATAGAGAACACAGGACTCCTCATCTYAYGTGATAGGTTGTGATATGTTGTATAGACTTTTAGGCATGGWCACAACCAATGTAGCAAGAATATGTTGGTTTCTCAATATGGTGGAAGCATTTCTAGAGGGCATGGTAGCAGTAGTAGCACTGTATCTATGATGTGGACCATGTACACCAACATGGTTTGGTTAAAGCTAATTTAAAGCAGGACTGGCAATAGGTGCAAGTGGCCCTGCATCTACAGTATATGCACCAGCCATGATTGTGACAAGAATATGGAAACAACCTGTATCAGAAATGATATWCATGATAGTGTGGGCATTAGTGGGGTGTGAACTTCTAGAATGTAGCTGTGCCCTGACACCCTGATGTGGCTCCTGGGCATGGTGTGATTGTGGGAGTATGTGGTAACACTGTCAGGGGAACATGCTGTTAACGTGTAGAGTGCAGTCGGGAGTAAAGAGGATTTTGAAGGCATGAAAAATAGCTGGAAACACATAAAATGAGTCTTAAAAGCAGAGCAGTTTTAATATTGCTTTCAGACTGAGTTTTCCAAATTTCCCTCAATCAAGCCATGTTTTTAAAAAAAATCACATAGGTGGTTGAAAGGATAGATTGGTTGACATCCAGTGTAAAGGAGGAATGGGTTAAACTGTACCGATACTGATGTGGTTACACATTTTTTGATACTCAGGACAAAATAATTCACAGCAAATAGAACGATGGCTWCATGGTTAAAATTTATACCTCAGATTTCACAATCATGAAAAGTAACTTACATCTTTAAGGCAGCCCATGAAATTGTTGCTGACTGGTGATCCAGGCAGGTCTGCAGTGTTGGGGCTTCCTCCAATGTAAAAGAAGTCATCAGATCCCAACATGGTGTAATCTTCCTGAGTGTAGCCCGTGGTGGTCAAAATACCATCAACAGAGATGGTCACCTGGTTCAGGCRTTGGCCAAAGGAGATAGAAACAGAAAAGAGAGCAGCAGGGCAGGAAAAGGCAGAATAGGAGAATGGCGAGAGAAGAAAAATTAGAAGAAATGAGAGGAGAAACAAGGAAGAAGTTGGATTAAACACCAGTGACAGGCAGGGATGCCCCCTAAAGTTTATCACTCAGTTGCTTGCTTTGATTCCAGTCAGACTGTGGGCCGTCACTGTGGAGTGCAATTACTAAAGCAAAGGAAAGCCACTTTACTGTGAAGTTTGGGTCAATATTGCCAGTGGTAAAATGGCAATTCTACTTTAGTTTATTTAAGGCAAAATCAAGATATAATTTGGAACTGCATTTAAATAGGTGGACCTTACAGAAATTTAAAAATATATAGTGGAAGTTGGCAGCTATATTATAGTAAACTGGCTATAAATGTAGACTTGGGACTGTCTAAAGCAAACAAGCTTAAGAAAAAGTTACATGAAACAGAGCATAGACAACTTGGTCTTTAAAAGTAGCAATGAACTTCAGCTCATTTAAGTCTTTGATTGGGAAAGCTATTCTGTTAGATGCCCTTGCTGAACCGGTTTTCATTTCTCTAAAAATACCTCCCTTCTCATTTTTAATTGCTTCAGTTCTTGTATTTTGCGCAAGGTTACACATTCTGTATTGAATGTTTGATTGCTGACAGGGCACAGAGTACCAGGTGGAAWGAGGAATCAGAAACACAGCTGCAAGCTGACAGTGTGAGATAGTGACAAGCAGAAACAAGACTTAATATCCCCCCAAAATCCCTTTCTTGTAGATTTTCTAAGCTCTCACGGGTTGTTCTGAGGGGGCTGTCTCTTAAAGCTCAAATGATGTTTCAGTGTTTGAAATACTGACTATCTGTAATCTGATACTATTAGAACATGACGAACCTGATGAGGGATAAAAAGATGTTTTATCCTAAATTACACCACACTGTGTGGAAATCCCTCTTTCAGTTTTACGACAACTTAAAAGATGTGACGATCTAAATGTTACAACAGGCTCCATGCAAGATTAGTTGAATAAAAACCTGCAAGTTGTAGTACGCTGCAAAGAAATATGAACATGTCTAGTTTCCTCTCTCAGACTTTACAGCAGTAGATATGAATACAATCTTCATCTTTTCAGATCCAGCTGATTACAATGCAGCAAATTGCACTACTTGATGAGAATGCAAATAAGTATCATTTAGCTAATTGTGTTGTTGCACTGCATTGTCCTTTTACATCATGACTGTATTTACCCTTGGTACCTCAAATCCAGTGCTTCCATACAAACATCCTGCCAAATTGCATTGTTTGATTAGGGACTGAATTTTGTGGTTTGTGACTAATTTATAGTTTAATTATCCTAAAGCAGCTGGCTTGGCTGAAAGAAAAGTGCTCTCGTCTCTTGATTTGATATTATTTTGCATAAATGTATGAACATGGCACTGTTGGGAGCTGCACATAACACCATTTGCTTACCATTACCTCCTGCAACAGAAAGTGCAGTAATTTCATCATGGTCCAACTTTAAATTTGGGGTATTTAGAGAGATTTTGAGTAATATATGGTAGATGTAACAGTCATATTTGTTGTAGAAACTCTGCTAATAATACAGACACACATTTCTAGCAAATATAGAAAACAGACACATTTCCACATTCTTTTTAAAGCTAAACTTGTTAGTCCAAGGTTTTTTAAGTCCTACTGTTAGTGACTGGCGACTATGGCAACTGCACTCCACAGATCTGTCTCCYCAGCTGAGTTCTCAACTTTGATTCAACTTTATTTTTTTATTATTTTATTTTAGTTTCTCCGTACTTCCCTGCTTAACAGGGCAACACATTTTTATGTCTGCTGTTAGAGTAAAATAACAATCACGTTGGCCAGGTGGTAAAAAGACTGTTGTTTACAGCGCTGGTATGTGTGGGGGGTCATMTTTGGGGATCACAAATAGGGTGGGCTTTCAGCAGGACAGAGTCACTAATCCTATAGTCATGTCAGAAAGCTCACAGGCTAAGGAGGGAAAATATGGGGGATTATCAGGACGTGTGCAATTTCAAAAACTTTCATAATGACTTAAGTCGTAGATGTCTATGCCATTCTCAAAATATGRAGCTAGGAAACGTCACAGTGTGAAAATGTATCCTGCAAAGCTTCTGAGACTAAAGCGTGGACTAAAATATTGAGAAGCACCAAAATAAGGAAAGCTTTTAGGGGTAAATGCTACATAGAAATTTTGTTAATGGTATTTCTGAAAGGCTGAATGGTGTCTTTGAGATTGTGTGTGTGTGTGTGTGTGTGTGTGTGTG